AGTTTCATAATTGGATTAAATATTAGATTAAATATTCTGTTGCAGTTCTCTTAAAACTTCAACAAGGGAAATTTAGATTAAATATTAGGAAGAATTTTTTTACTATCAGGGTGGTTAAGCATAAAAAGAGATTATCTAGGGAGGTTGTACAATCTCCATCCCTGGAAGCTTTTCAGAGCAGGTTAGAGAGTGAAATGGTTTAGACAGGGATGGCCCTGCCTTGAGCAGAGAGTTAAACTAGATGACCTCCTGAGATATGTTCCAGTCTGATTTTTCTATGATTGTATGAAATTTGAGGTTTTGTTATATGTAGGATTTCAGAGAGCAGCACCAATTGAATCAACAGAATCTGTATTTCCTTTACCCCCCTCAGTTTCTTTAGTGGTCTCCTATTCAAGACCTGACCAGGCCAACTCTGAGCATCTTTGGAGATTTGATACTTCCAGTGTACAGAGGAGTCTGGCTTGCAGACTGTAGTAGCTCACACTGTTGCCAACAACTACCAATATTTGTGCTTTAAATAAAAGCTGCTGTATTTCTCACAACCCTTCCTAACCCTGGGGCAGTGGAAGCAGTCTGGTATCACTGTGGGACACTGAAACCTTGTTGGACTGGAATATAGATTCTAGTAAATCTGTTTTATGCATTACTTTAAATTTAGGCTAATGGCCCATGTCTTTTGCTGTATCGCATAAAACGAGTTCTCTTGTTTTCTAAGTGTAGAGGAATAGGATATATTCTTCCTTATGAATTTTTTTCCTGAGGTTTTTGGGTTTTGTTCACCCAACAGTTAATTTTTATTCCATTTCCCTCAAAGTGCTTCTCTCAGTGCTTTGAGATTATTTTTCAAATATTTTATCATAAAAAAAAGATCAGTGGGGCAGAGGGAGGGGGCGAGGGAATCTCAGACTGGGTGAGCTTCTATTCCCCCCCACCCCTCACCTGTAGAAAGTTCATTTTCTTATCAATAGTTCAGTTGATTCTTGGGGGGGGAGGTGAGAACAGAGAAAGCAAAGCTATAGTGACATAAAGATTTATCAATACCAGTGCAGTTCTGTTTTGGAGAAATTCTGACATTCAATATATTTTGAATTTGTAACCCTCAAAGTTTTTCTTTTGTCAGACTTTTTCTGATGTTTTTGGTGCTGCTTCTGGTTTTGTTCTGCATCACACCTTGTGTCCATTTATTTATTAATTTCCCTTCTATTTAATTAGTGTATTTTCCCAACTTTCCCCCCAAAAATCAGCCCCTCCAGAATTGGGATGCATGTATTAAGTGGGCAAACTGATTTTTCTGCCTGGGATAGAAGCACCCTGCTTTGATTCCTGCTCCACAGTACAGCAGCTGTTGAATTACTATTCAGGCAGCTGAGGGAGTTAAAAATTGACTTAATGGCTTATTGTTTTATTGTTTTCTCAGCCACAGGTGTTAACGACTCTCTCTCTTTCTTTTTATGATCGTGATGTTTCACTAATCAAGTTAACCTTTTTTAGGGCTGTTTTTATGTTTGCTAGCTGCTACTGGTCTCTGGCTTCCTATTTCACAACCTAAGCAGGAAAAGGAGGGTGAGTCAGCTGAAGATTTGGCTCTGTCCCTGCTCTATGCAGCCAGAGCTCTGGAAAAATCTTGTTTTGTCCTCATTCAGTCTTTCAAAACAAGGTGTGTATTGTATGCCAGGATGTGTTGTGTGAGAGAAAATACAGTAATTGCTTTCCCAAGCACCTGGTAGGGTCCAAGGAAATTGGGTCTATTTTGGTTTAATTCTGCATTAGAAGAAATCACAATGTAATAACTTTTCTGAAATCAGAATTGCTGAGCTTTGAACAGCTATGATCAGATGCACTAAGAGCAATGCTGAGAGGGACCATAAAGAATTTTGTATTCTAGAAAGTGTTGGATGACTGTAAGAAGGATAGCAAAATAAGAAAATGAGATCTAGAAGGAGAGACTGACCTCATTATTTTTGTTCTTAAATGTTAAGAAGATGTGTTCAGTGCCTTAATTCCTAGTGTAAGATAAAACTGCAGGCTCAGAACTGAACTTGTAGCTGAAATAGAGGGATGGTTATGGTAGCTTTAAGCTTTTTAGGTGCTTACCTAATCCCTTACTCTGGAGGCAGACCTGAGGGTCTCAAGCTCTGTTCCAGGACACTCGTCACCCTGGGTCACATGAAAGAGGGCCCTTGAAAAAGCAGCTCCCCCCCCCGCCCCGGTCTCTCTTAGTTCTTGTCTTGGTACAGTCCTGCTTCAGCAAGAAATAAGGCCTTTAGTACACCCCTTCATGCTGCTCTAACTGTTTCCCAGAATAGAAAAGTTAGAATATAAACCTCTGTTATTCCAGGAAAGAGTATTAAGCTTGTGGTTTGCTTATGCTTTGGAAACTTTTTTACAAATAAATTAAGCCCCCTGAACACAAGACCCCTTGGGTAAAGAGTCAGGACAAAGCATTATGATGTATGAAGAAGCAAGATGGACAGGGGCGGTAATTTTGCCTCTGAAGATGGCACCAGTGGGAATAGTACTAAAGGACTGGGTGCCCACATTTAACCAATTTTTCATCAATATTTTTAAGGTTATAAAAAAAGCATTAAAAATGATCTTTGGACTGGATAAAATGCCTTACAGGGCCAGTTAAAGAGCTTAGTCTGTTCAGCTTATTAAAAAAAAAAGTCAGAAATATGACCTGATTAGAGTGTTTAAGGAACTTTGTGGGCAGAAAATGCTGAGTACTAAAGGACTATTTAATTTAGTAAATAAATACCTAACAAGAACTAGTAGCTGGAAGCTGTATCCAAATTAAAATGAGAAATAAGGTACAGCTTCTTAACAGCGCAGGTGGAACGCTGACTGAGAAGTCATGAATTCTCCATTTCTTCAATCAACACTAGATGCTTTTATTGAAGTTATGCTTTAGCCAGACAAGTGACTGAACTTGATATGGGGGTAATTGGGTGAAATGTAATGGTCTGTAGTATACAGGAAATCTGATTAGATCATATAAGAATCCTTTTAATGGTCTTAGACTATGAATAATCAATTCTTCGGTGAAAAGCAAGTAACAAGGATACTTGGCATAGCACAAGCTCTCAGCAAGTGTTACTGACATGAGACGAACACATTACTGTGAAATGCACAGTGGTACTTCTTCAAAGGAAATTTTCATATTGAAACAAACCTACATAAAAATGAAATTGGTTTTCCCAGTAATTTTCTATACTCAAGTTGTTTGACAGCTTCTCTGCTTGCTTATACGTGCATTTGTTTGTCTTGGCACCTGAAAATAACTTTATGGGCTGTTACCGGGAGACAGGATCTGGTCACATGCCTCAGCTGTAAGATTGGACAGAGGGAAGGATGGTACTTAAACCTTGAAATTTAATGCTGAATTAGCAAAGTAAACCTGAAAAAAAAATATGTGAAAAAGATGTGAATTAAGTCCAGTTTATGTAGAGGAGTTGAAAAGTTTCCCTTTGCTTTAAAAGTTCCTTTAAAGATTTAAAAGTACACATTTTGTTTTGAGTTGGAAATTGGTGGTATCCTGTGAGAAAGTCAGTTCACTTTAAAAGAGACAAACTGCTGTTTGTTTTTTGATGACAAGAATGGAGGTAGCAGATACTTGAGTTGGCAAACAGAATGAGAGTGTCTGGGTATAACTGTGTATGTCAATTATTGTATAATTTTTTCATCTCAATCTCACTGACATGTATCTGTCCCAATGAGTTTAAGCTTAAATTATAGCTTAAATTAGAAAAGAATGAGGGTAACTGAGAGGAGAGCATTGCCATAATGAAGGATTGTGCAGCAGATGTGCTATTGCTCATCTGGATAATTCGTTTTTTGCAGTAGCAGTGGGTTGCTTAAATTTATATAAAAATAGTAGTCAGGAGAAGCGGCATTGTGATCAGTCACAGAGGGTTTGCAAAAAAGTTTGTCTTGCGAGAAAAGGAGAGAATTGTGTTGCAAATTCCAAAGAATTCAAGATAATGTCATCAATGAGGAACTTGAGGAACTAGGCAGTGAAAGTAGCCTATTCAAAGTGTTTGAGTGTAAAGAGGAGGGAGACATGACTGAAGAACTGGCAGGGAAGATTTTAAAAAGGGATGCAGTAGCTCATGTGATAGCAGAAAAAATAAATGAGAATGAAGAAGAGAAAGGGTATTGAAAAGTGAAAATTGGATAGGCTTAAATAAAAATATATGATAATCCAGTTGACCTGTATAATACAAGGGCAGAAACACTTCTCTATTCTTTTCTTTTTTGTTCGTATAGATAGGAAATAAAACAGGCAACTCGTATTTATTGCACATTTGTTACACAAATAAATTGCTACTGTGCTTTATGATAAAATCATTATCAGTATAGACTGGCACTTCCTGTTTGGTAATAAAATTGTTTAAACTATGTTAAAATGACACCCAAGAATACAAAATATGAATATTTGAGGAAATGTTAAATGTATAATCAAATGAATAGACTATTTACAGATCCAAATGATGTATAATAAAAGCTGTATGAGACTTTTTTTCTTTGAAGTTGAATTATGTGACTTGGACAGTTTTCATGTGCTCTCTGTCTTTGGGATAAATTTGACACAACAAATCGACCTAACTTCAACCAAATGATAATATATAGATGGAAAGTGATTTCAGTGACTAGATGGAGAATAAATTTCAGGATAAATAGCTATTCCATTGCAGATCACTTTTATAAATAAAACTTTGCTTTCTCTCCTCTTCATACAATGCTCTCAAGTCCCCAGCTCCTCAGTGCTGCAGACCCTGGGTCAGATCCACAAGAATATTTGTGCATCATACACCCAGTGAAATCAATGGGAATTAGATATGTAAATACTTTTTGTGGATCTGGTCCCTAGGCTTTTCACTTCAGTAATGGGATTTATTATGTGCGTTCCATCAGTGTTGTTCTGATGACTGCATTAGCTTGCTCATTAACTGCTGGACAGCTCATTAATTTTTTACTGAACTCTTTTTTCCTTCTAGGTTTATGATAAATGTGACTTGGGAAGGTAAAGATTTGTCCTTCACAGAAGATGGCTACCAGGCACAACCTAAGCTGGTGGTGATAGTACTGAACAAAGATCGAGCATGGGAAAAGGTGAGCACTACCTGCAGGTTTATCTGGTGAAAGGCACAGAGGAAAGATGTGATGGTTTAGAAAGGGTTCCCTCAGTTCTGTTCAGATAAGGCAAAACTACCCTTTCTGATATGCAGTGGCAAAATGAATCAGCTGTGATACTCTTCTTTTTTTCTGTATAGCCAGGGTCATTTCTGATATCAGTGATGTCAGTTTGTTCATCAAAAGTAGTACTATATGCATATGGAAAGCAATATATTACCTAAGACATGCTGTATAGATCACAAGACTTTTGCAACATGCTTGGCATATCTTCTGGCTTTACAAATTAAACTGAGGTCATATTGGGTAAGTGAATGATTTTCAAAGAACTCGGAACATAACATTTCCAAAATCTGGATGGATTTGAACATAATCCAGGAACCTCACAGCATTTTTAATTCCTATATGATTTAGATTATACATAGTTAATATTTCTGGTGCAGAATAACTTTACCTTCCTTTTGAGGGTTAAATCTTGCAAAATCTGACTAGAGGTTCAGAATCTTGATTTAGATTTATGATGGATTTAAGTATACCCTGGCTAGTCCCCTCCTACTGTAGAAAGAATAAGCAAGTTGCTTTTAGAGGCAATTCTATAAGCTTCTGTGTATCAAAATTAACAACATGAACCTTGTATAAAAATGAGCTGTATATAATGTGGTTTTCTTAAATGCATGGTAATGCCATAAAATATTGTCATCTGTAATGTTAACATACTGGAGTCTGCTAATTTTACTCACATATTGCAAAATATGGGATTACTCTGAATAAGGGGCTATTTGTAACAATGCCATAATCTGGACCTGAAGAGCATTTGCAATGTCCAAGTCTAGGAAGTATGTGCTGTGGTTCAAAAAACATATGTTAGATTCCTAAAGCATGATCATGTATTCTACATGAAATCCAAACTCCCTTTGAAATTTAGGAAGTCCTAAATTTGTGGCATATATGAAACACTGGATTAGTGGTCCAGTTTGCAAGGTTGTCAGCCTCTAAATAGCACTGCACACTTAAAATGAAACATCAGTTACTATATGGCAGGGGATTTCAATTTTTTAAATAAGTGTACCCCTTCTGTCCCAAAGTTTCACCTCTTAGATGTCCCGTGGTGAGGGAGGGAGTGGGACAGGCACAGGTGGCCAACACGGGGCACAGGGGTGGCCAGTGGCACTGGCAACCTGTTTGGGGCACACAGTAGATTGGGCAGGTAGCAGAGCAGCAGAGAGGGTATGGAGCAGAAAGCAGAGTGGTGAGGGAGTACAGGAGCAGCAATGGAAAGCAGAGCAGAAGATTAGGGAAGCAGCACATGGGGCAGGCGAAGGGCACTGGCCAGAGCGGCAGCAGGGAGGGCTGCCAGAAGCCTGGCCCTTCCCAGGGCAGAGGCCAGGTACAGCCTGCCCAGGTGGTGCAGGGGGCCCCCAGTGCTGGACAGTCCAGGCAGATCCAAGTCCGGGGCTCCTGCTCAATG